ATAATCTCGTTAAAAGTGCATATTCATTGCTGATTTTACTATTAATTTCGAGGCTTCCTCTGCTTTCAGACGCGGGGTCCGGCACTAGACGGTTTCCATTACTCTACTCTGTTTGTATTTTTATAATTGAAAAATATTCTTAACAATCCAAATAGTCATTTCAAGCGAAATGAAGATCTACATGTGTGAAATTTCTAAGGCATAAAATCTATTACATATTCCCGTAAAGAAAAAAAAAATATAATAATAATAATAAAATGAAAAAAAAATAAAATAATAATAATAATAATAATTATTATCAATAAAAAAACAACAACATATGTCTCCTAAAATTCTGTTTCGAGGAGTCTGAGTAGGGTACAATGTTTTCTTCTTCTTAAATACTAAACCAGATTTTTTAAGCCATAGTTGCTCGTTTAGTAATCTTCAATTACAGTTAATTGGTTTGTTCAGGACGTTCTTATATATATATATTTCATAAAAAATCAAAACTGTTTAGCTAACAATCAATCATTTGGATTCGATGTAAACCAGTATGTAGGTTTCAAAGACAAAGCAGAAATTACTTTAATCCTAAAAAATGAGGACAAGCCCACCCATGAATAATTGTGACGTTTTTTTGGTAGAGAACAAATAGGCCGAAAAACTGTGATGAATTAGGCTTGCGGTCTGTAAACTGCCCTGTAAAAAAACATAAATTTTACATCAAATTATGTACAAAATTTGCTCAACCTAAGCGAAAGTTACAAAAATGTGTACAAGGTCATTCTGTATAATGAAAATCAAGAATGCATGATACACAAGTGTGAAAATTGCCCAAAAATGTTAGATCATCAAGTTCCTGCCAATCAACCGAGCTAGAAGGCCCACCTGGATGTAATAAATTTGACACAAGCATCACTCTGCTCCTTATCCACTTGACTGACAACTCCAACCCACCGCTAGTCTTCATAGAGACAGGTCATAAAATCAGCGACTTCAAATTTCATGATTATGCTGAATCCCAAATAACGAATCATCACTGCATCTCTTTGCTGCAGCAGAACACTCGTCAACTGGAGTAAAATGATGGAAAGATCTTGTATCTGGTGCCGCATGTGTGCCTAGACGTCTCTCCCCAAGAAACTGCCTTTTATAATCAACCTTGATCTTTTCAGTATGAAGGAACTTAATTGGTGTGATATTTCTGTGCAGAGAGTGAAGAGGTCACCCACTTGCTTGCTACAGCTTACTTTTGCTTCAAACAGGCCATTTGCATTTTTTTGAGGGGGGGGAGGGGGGGTCGTCCACTACTGTAAAAATCTTTTAAAACGCATGGGCAATATTTATAGATAAAGCCATTGTCATATAACAGAATTAGTACATGTTTATGGTGCCACCTATATCATCCCAGGGCTGTTTCCGTGCCAGGGACATTAAAATCTTTTTGTTGATTGTGCAGATGCACTTCAGCCATCGGAAAAATATTTTATTGTTTTAAGCTTTTCAAGTCGTAAAAACTACGCTCCTGAACTTCGCGAACAATAGCAACATTATGATTTGTGTCATCGCTCCAAAGGCAGTTTGACTGGTGGCAAAGTTTGTCTTCTTTTCTGCAATAAACTACAGTAGAATACATTGGGAATTCGTCCAATGGAAGCTTTGAATTCTGAATGACATATGAATAATTTTCTGCAAAATCATAGAAAAGTGCCATTATTGGCTCCAACTGTTCTTAATGGGAATTTAGACACTGGAATTGAGATTTTGCAAAAAGAATGCTTATCAAATTCTCAAGTTGTGCTTCCACAATTTCCACATGGTTTTAGAACAGTTTTTTTTCTTTGAATAAGATTTGAAACGGTCAGTTGTGGTACACTGGGAAAAGACTATTGAATCGTCATCATCATCAAAGTCCTCGAGAAGGATATAATGTGGTCCCTTAATCACTGATGTCTTTGGGCAATTTGCATATCTGTGTACCATGCATTACTTTCGTGACTGCACACAATGAACTCGTGCAAACTTTCGATAAGTGGGTTGAGCAAATTTAAAAATATTTTGGTATATTTTACACACTCAAACATAATGGGCCCCTGAAGCTTCAGCAAGGATGCAGTAAAGGATGTTCAAAGAATTAATGCAAAATTTGGACACTAATGTTGACATATCTTGTGATATCTTCTCGGTTTGTATATAACATTTTCATAGTTTGATGTAAAATTTATTTTTTCTTTATGGGGCAGTTTACATATGTGGACTACAACGCGCAAGCCCAATTCATCAGTTTTTTCAGCTTATTTGTTGTCTCTACTAAAAACGTCAAAATTATTTATGGGTGGGCTTATCCTCATAATTAGGAAGTTAATATGTGCATACACTTCTATTGCAGATGTAGTACTACCTCTTGCAAACATTATAGGCAGAACATGTAAGAGAAAGCAATTTCCGTTTTATTTTTGAGATTTACGTATATGATCACTTCAGAATGCACAATTTGACTGTGATATCCTCCATTGATTTTTACCAGCACGGTTTTAAATTTTGATGAAAAACCAGAATCAAAAATATGAGGGTTTGTGAGGAATCGAGGCCTCAAACTTTAAGTGGTCCAGGAGCCTAAACCAATTGCAATATCCAAACTAAATTATGAGGAATTGGTCATGTTATTCACTGCACAGGTGGGTGATTTTATATGAAATGACCCCGTTGTCATCCATGTTTTGGCTCTATCGTGATTGTGCTAAAGTTACCAGTTATATATGCATTTTCAATTGTTCTTATGTAAGGAAAACACCACATTTCTCAAGCAATAATATTGGTATTGGGCATAACTTGGTAATGTTTCCAAACCTTTTACAACAATGGATCCCAATGGCTCATATTAGTTGCCAGTGAAAATATTTACTTTACTATTATACCAGGCGCACCAATCACCAGAACTTCATACAAACAAAGAACATTACATTCACAAATACCGGATACTATGTATGTATTGCCAGAAATAGATTAGACCACTTACTAGAGCGTGAACCTGTTGGAAACGTCCGTATCTGTACATACTCTCTGTATGGATGTACTTAATGTGTGTTTTTTGGGGGAATTTGAGTAACGTGTGTGTTGGCGTGTGAAAAATTTTCGAGGGGCTTTTAATATTTGCAACTTATTTTCCTTTTTATTTATTTTTATTTATCTTTTATTTTATATTATTATTATTTTTATTTATATATTTTATATTGTCGCACAGATATTTTAAAGACAATAATCTTTTTGGATTTTCGTTAAGATAAACAGATGCTTATATAGCACGTTTTGTGCTTTTCCTCCAAATAAGGTAATTACCGATGAAGACTAAGATTTGAAAATATTCGTCTCTAACGGCCGTATGTTTAGAGAATTTGTGTGACGCAAATCCCATCACAATATACTCATGCTTGTTTTATTGCTGTCTGTGGCAAGAAATACAATTTACATATCTTTAGCTTTAATTTGGTATACCATTTCGGGGGGGGGGGGGGCTGTGAGAGTATACATGCTGTCGCTATATTTACTTTGTACTTTGTTTTGAATGTAGACATTTAGGTTCTGTTTTGATCCTATAGTCCTATTGTAACCCCCCCCCACCCCCCGAAAAAAGCCACATCCCTTAACAATGAGTCTCTTGTTATTGATAAAGAAATTTGTCATATAGTAAGCAATCTTTCCCGCATTCGTAAAATGGGGTATGAAGTATATCGAGAACTTTATGGGGTTAATATGAAGGAAAAGGAATTGAAAGATAAACATCCTCTCCAAGTGTCCACACACACACACACACACACACACACACACACACACACACACACACACACACACACTGCAAATGTCCACATGGAGGTCTGTGTAAATTAAAAACAGCTTCTTAAGATAAAATTTTCGGCCATAGGAGGTGACGTCATCATCTGAAAATAATACCAATTGGTGTCCAGTTTATTCGCGCGCACTTAAGTTTTCATCCTCCACTTGCGAGCCGGTCAGCCAGATGTTTGGCGATCGCGGCATCGTGCACTTGCCCGTCCCTCGTCGACCGACGACGCGTGAAGACCCAGATGTTCTTCCGCAAGAAAATCTTCCGTGGGTCCGCCTCCTGCTGGCGACGACGGTGATGTTAAGCCACAACTTCCTATCTCGCGTGAATGACAGATCCTCCGCTGGGAAGGAGGAGTCGGCGAGGTCTCCCCACCAGGAAGGAGACCACGCCGAGCCTCCTGCGTTGTCCTTGTCGAAGAGACTGGAAACGAAAGAAAACGAAACGTCGACTGAAACGAAACGAAACCTCGAAGAGACTAACGAAAGAAAAACGCGTCGAAGAGACTCTAACAACGCGGAGAAATCGAGTGAGGGAAATGTGCAAGCAGTTTAAAGTCGCCGAAGACGTAGCTTATACAGTAAACAGAAGACATTACTATTTCTTCGATTACAACGCTACTGTGTGCGCCGTGCCCAAAGTACGTCCGAGAGGGCACTGTAGGGAGCGAAACCGCGTGGAAATGTCTTATTATAAGTATATATAATAAGTGTGATTTGTGGAACTGTGCATCTGTGATGAATTGGAAATCATTGAGAAATATTTGTCTGCTTGAACTGTTCATGGGTCGTCTTTTTATTTTTTATTAGAGTTGGCGAAAGTTATCGATTGTATTTATCGATTATATATATTCCATTTTATGGTCTGTTTTCACATTTTGCTACTTAACATTTTCATCACCCTGTAATTTTCAACAAAATATTATAACACAAGCATAAAAAAGGTGTTCAGAATAATCTTATTTTACAGGGTGAATTTAGCTAGCAATTTTCCTCAAAATTATTTTCATTGATGTTAGGATTGGTCAGACTAATTACTATGATCTCTCTCTCTCTCTCTCTCTCTCTCTCTCTCTCTCTCTCTCTCTCTTCTCTCTCTCTCTCTCTCTCTCTCTCTCTCTCTCTCTCTCTCTCTCTCCTTCAGTCTCTCTCTATCCTCTTTATTCATTTTTATTCACTTGTCCATGGCTACAGCTATCTGTGATACTTCGCTGGTTTATAAAATTTTAATCATCGTTAGAATGTATTCAACTTCAAATTCAAAATACATTCTTCCATTTGTTATGACGGTTATTCCTCTACATGAACAGTAATTTTACAGCTCAAATGGATATAAAATACACACAAAATTCATAATGGTAATACATCTGAAGTTAGGTTGACCTCCATCTTACATTAAGAAATGATATAATTCATAACATAGCAGATGTTCCTTTGATTCCATCTTTAATGTATTCAAGTTACGGATGTTTCTGATATTCAAATGTCATCCACAACGTTCGTGTGCAAGTGTTCGGAACTTCCAGATGTTTTTACCTTTTTTGTTTTTGTTTTCACAACGATGCACTGATTACGAAGGTCTAAATACTGTTATATTGACTGCAATTGTTTATATAATCTACCTGGAGCTCTGTATAAATTACTAATGGTTATTGGTTCGTTCACCTGTGTATCTTTAGCTCACATCTTGTGTATAGTTGTGTGTGTATGAATGTTTCTCTATTCATATTAGATATCTCAGTTTCCGAGAAGTAGCACAAGGTAGTTCTTTGTGTGTATAATATATATATATATATATATATATATATATATATATATATATATATATATATATGTGTGTGTGTGTGTGTGTGTGTGTGTGTGTGTGTGTGTGTGTGTGTGTGTGTGTGTGTGTGTGTGTGTGTGTGTGTGTTGTAAAATTTCACGACAAATCACAAATTTTACAAATCTTCAATAAAAAGAAAAAAAGAGAGAAAAATCTACCACATTTTCACAAACTGAAATAAAGAATCAATATATTTTCACAAATTAATTGAAACCAAACAGAAAAAAAAAACAGAAAATCTACCACATTTTCGCAAATAAATAATACCATTTTCCATAAATTTTAGATGAGAAAAAAAAATCTACCGCATTTTCACAAATTCTCTCTCTCTCTCTCTCTCTCTCTCTCTCTCTCTCTCTCTCTCTCTCTCTCTCTCTCTCTCTCTCTCTATCTCTCTATCTATCTCTCATCAATCAATCTATCTATCTATCGTATATCATATATATCTATATATTACAAACCCTCATCCCAGGCAGGTTCGTCGACATGGAGGGTGCACGTGAGACGAATCAACGGTGGTCCTCCAGCAAACGTTTCTGTCGAGGATGACAAACGTCGACAAACGTTTCTTCAGTCTGGTCTCCGTCAGGTGGTGGCCAGCACGGTCTCTTCGTCCACGCTTATTATGTCTGTAAGGTAAATGGTATTATTTCCTTTTTTTTATATGTTTTCTCTTTTGTTTTCTTTCTTTTTTGTTTTTTTTATGGTGTGAATCATGTCTGTAAAGGAAATGATATTATTTCCTTTTTCTTCTTGTTTTGTTTTCTCTTTCTTTTTGTTTCTTTCTTTCTTTCTTTTTATTATGGTGTGAATCATGTGTGTAAGGTAAATGGTATTCCTTTTTAATTTTATTTTGTTTTCTATTTTTTTTATTTTGTTTTCTGTTTCTTTTTCATTTGTTTTTCTTTTTCATTTTTATTATATGGTGGTATGAAGTGAATGATTAGTTATTGGCAAGTGTTATTGATTTTCTATAGTTATCTTGTTTTTGTTTTAGTTTTTTTTTTTTAGAGGGGGGGGAGGGTTCATGTGGTAAGGGGTTCAGTTGTTGGAATATGTTTATACAGAGATTCATTTATAGGGGTTTATTTGGCGGGAGGTTTAATTTGAGGGGTTCATTCGTCGGAAGGTTCAATTTTAGGGGTTCATTTCTCGGGAAATTCATTTTTAGGGATTCATTCGTCGGGAGGTTCACTTTTGCCGGGTGGTTCAATTTTTAGGGATTTATTCCGTCGGGAGGTCCAAATTTAGGGGTTCATTTCTCGGGAAATTCATTTTTAGGGATTCTTATATCGGGAGGTTTACTTTTTAGGGATTCATTTGCTAGGACGTTCAATTTTTAGGGATTCCGTCGGGAGGTTCACTTTTTAAGGGATTCATTTGCCGGGAGGTTCAAATTTTAGGGATTTATTCCGTCGGGAGGTTCACTTTTTTAGGGGGTTCATTGCCGGAGGTTCAATTTTAGGGATTTATTCCGTCGGAGGTTCATTCATTTCCGGGAGGTTCAATTTTAGGGTTTATTGTCACGGGTTCATCAGTTGGACTTCGTCAAGGTAGAAATAAGCAATCTATTCACAATAAAGTTATTCTAATTATGATTAATGCATTGTGATTGCTATTATTATTATTATTATTATTATTATTATTGTCGTTATCATCAGTAGTAGTAATAGTAGTATTTTTATTACTGTTATTGATACTGTTGTTAGTACAGCTGTTGTTACTGTTATTACTGTTTTCGTAATCATTATCATTATCTTTATTATTGTTATTATTATTATCATCATTATTATCTTTTCATCATACCATTATTACCATTACAAAGATGATAATAATGATTAATATAAAGA